CAACCACTGTTAAACCACCCCACCCCACCCCACGACGTGGTATTCATTGTATTGACCCCGGATGGATGATATCGTCACGCGACATGTAACCCACAGCGGCGGTGGTTAACCGCCGCCTCGCGTGCGCTGCGAGTGAGCCCGTCTGGGTGAGACTCCTGCCCGCGGCTGATACCGCAACCACACCCCGGCTGACGGCGTACAGACTGTGCCGGGTTGGCCTTGATTCGTGTCGGGCTGATCAGGGTTCCGCGTGGGCTTCCTTTGTCACTCGATTGTCGGTGCTCACAGAAGCCAACACTTAGCGACATCCCCACGCACACGAAACCTTCGCCTCTCGATTTGAAACGTACGCGCGCTCACTCACTCACTCATCCTAATCACCATTCACCCTTCATTCGAACAATACACCGCAAAAGCGGCCAGACTTTACAATGGGAGAATAATCGATTCACCTGCTGTTCAGTCCTCGTCCCGGTCTGCATCTGTTCTTCCCTTTCCCAGTGGTACAAGTGTCGGAATCTCCACAAAAGGTGACTGCAGAATCGGAGCGATCTCCCGCTGCTCAATTGAGCACCGACTGAAACATTGCTCACCTCCCGCTTACCAGCCCCGCTGAGCCAGCGGTGGAAATTCCACATTCGTATGTAAGAGGGGAGAGTCCTCTTCATGCGACAACCACTGTAAACTACCCCCCCTCCCTCCAAAAATAGTACCTATTTTATTGACCCCGGGGAAATGATGGACGTTACCTTGCCCCCCTGGAGTAAACGATGAAACCTTTAGGATCTACAACAAATCATTTTCTTTGTACCTTTCGGTGAAGTCACGTCGATAGAAAAGAATAAAAGTAAATAATTTTTGATTTAAAGCTTTCGTGACTGCAGTAATTCATATTCTTAGTTTTTTCGGTAAAGTCACGTTGAAGAGAAACAACAAAATAACAAAATATATATAAAACAATAAAAAATTCTCACGACGTTTCGACCATAACTCAAACACACCTGATGATGACCGTTTGAGTTATGGTCGAAACGTCGTGAGAATTTTTTTATTGTTTTATATATATTTTGTTATTTTGTTGTTTCTCTTCAACGTGACTTTACCGAAAAAACTAAGAATATAAATATATTTTTTTAACTCCGACGTTTCGATCACAACACAGGCGATCGTCATCGGGAGGAAAAAGGCGGGCCAGGCACACTGAAGGCGAGTTCTTTATAAAGGTTTAAACATGGGCGTGGCACAAGCGTCCTGGCATCAGAACGAAGTTGGCGGGGCATCAGTGCCCTGTGGTAAGAGAGCACCGTGGGGCGGTTACGAGACGTTCCGAGAAAGACACGGAAGTTGGCTAGGAAGAAACATCACAAGGGACCGGCCATAAATGACGTCACGCGATTTTTGACGATTTTTCAACCCCACCCCCCCCCCTTAGGTGCGTGATGTCATTTATGGACGGTCCCCAACCATTTTCATTTAAAGCTTTCGTGACTACAGGGATTCATATTCTTGATTCTTTCGGTAAAGTCACGTAGAGGGGAAACAATAAAATAATAAGGATATAAAATAAAATTATCACGACGTTTCGACTGCAACACAAGCAATCATCATCAGGTGTGAAAACCACAGCAATACATTTTTAAAAAGTGGCGGGTTTTTTTGAACGTTGAAAAAAAACACCACTTTTTTTTCTTGCTGTGGTTTTCACACCTGATGATGATTGCTTGTGTTGCAGTCGAAACGTCGTGAGAATTTAATTGTTTTATATTTTTATTGTTTTATTGTTTCCCTTCTACGTGACTTTACCGAAAGAACCAAGAATATGGTCCCCAACGAGTTATGGCTTAAAGTGGTTGATGACGTCCTTCCAATGATTGCTGAGTTGGTACCCATTTCTCTCGGTTGGAATTGTGCCTGTGTCTATATATATGGATGGCTTCATGGACGATTCTTTGTCGATAGCCAGTGGGCTTGCACAGTAGCCATCGTGCTTTGGCAAAGCAGACCATTGTTTTATTTTGTGGGCTCGCATCTTTCTGCGTGTTCATTGTACACAGAGTCGGGCTGTCCAGGATCACATTCGCCTTTGCATTCCGAGATCCGACGAGTCGTCTGTGCCCGAGTCTGACGTTGTACTGCCCTTCTATGCTCCCGTGTCGAAATCCACCCCGCGACTTCACCCACCCGACTTGGACCCAGCAGCTTGGTCAAATAACCTCCCTCACCCACACGCTCCCGCCTCCACGCATACGGCTTGGGAGCGGTGGGGGGGGGGGGCTGTATCCAGCAGTGGATTGAACATGCACACAGTGTATTGTGTGGAGCGGTGATTTTATTAAATACACACAGACAGGCAGGGACTATGAGGAGGAGGAGGAATAAAACGAGTTCCAAGGAGGATGCCTTGGTGTGTATTGGGTTATGCGACGTACAGGGTTAGGTCTGAGCGGGTTTTACCACGTGTTGTTCGTTCGGCACCACGACGTCTGACGTTTCGTGGGAGGGGGGTCTTCCTCGGCAAACTGAATCCCCCCCACAAGGGGAATCGCTGGAAGCAACATCGGTGGAGTGATGGTATCTTCCTCGCCAGGAATGCAGGAGGTCGAGGGGGAGGGGTGTTCGACCCCAAGCCCGACCCCTCTATAATTGGAGTTTGCGTGTCTCTCTCTCGCCGTGGTCACGTGGAACATTTTTTGTATTTTCTCCCGATCCTCCGGATGTTCCCCTCCTCATTTAGAAACATGCCCTTTGTGTTATTCGGGTGATTTTGTGCTCCGAATTTGCACACGTGATAAGCCACTTCGTTAAGCTGTCATTTGTGGCCAGGTCGCTTCTGAAAAAGCGAATGGCTCTGTTGGCTTTACGTGGTAAAATAAACATGATTTCGATTTAAAGCTTTCGTGACTTCAAGGATTCATCTTCTTTGGTTCTTTCGGTAAAGTCACGTAGAATGAGAATAAAATAATAAATTGATAAAATAAAATAACACAATAAAATTCTCACGACGTTTCGGCCACAACACAAGCGGCCTTCATCAGCGCTGTCCTCCAGACAGTCTCGTCCCTTCACCTGATGAAGGCTGTTTGTGTTGTGGCCGAAACGTCGTGAGAATTTTATTGTGTTATTTTATTTTATCAATTTATTATTTTATTCTCATTCTACGTGACTTTACCGAAAGAACCAAAGAAGAAAAATAAACATGGTTATGTAATCCACGTGATTTGCTTTGCTTTCTTATACTTTGCACTGCTATCGTGTTGTCATATTGTTTGTTGTTGTAACGTTCTGACCGGCCCCCTTACTGGACATCCGTGGGGAAAATAAAAGGTGACAGCTTCACAGCTTATCGGATTCCTCCAGTATGAATAAAATGAGTCTGATTCTGACACCGTGGTTACAACACGGGCGCAACACCGGGGTGAGAGCGATGGAGAGAGCGAGGGGAGAGAAAGGGGGAGCGAGGGGAGAGAGCGAGGGGAGAGCGAGGGAGAGAGAGCGAGGGGAGAGCGAGGGGAGAGAGAGCGAGGGAGAGAGAGCGAGGGGAGAGAAAGGGAGAGCGAGGGGAGAGAGCGAGGGAGAGAGAGCGTGGGGGGAGAAAGGGAGAGCGAGGGGAGAGAGCGAGAGGAGAGGGGAGAGCGAGGGAGAGAGAGCGAGGGGGGAGAAAGGGAGGGCGAGGGAGAGCGAGGGGAGAGAAAGGGAGAGAGGGGGAGAGCGAGGGGAGAGAGGGGGAGAGCGAGCTATCTCTCTCTCTCCCTTTATGATTGTACAAAATTACTCATCGCCATCGCACAACGTTGTGATGTTAGTGGAATACAGGACAGATCGCAACACACACAGTGGTCAACATGTCTTGTGATTCCCCCTCCCCCCACCCCCCAAATTGAATTCTCTAAAACTTTATATTTTTGGTAAGGTTTATTTAAAACAGAAATGAAAATGCAAACGTCAATGAATTGGGGGGCACGAGACATCCGGACCACCAAAACTAACAAACAAGCATTTGTTTTCATTGCCATAGCAACTGATACAAGTTCAATCACATCGGGCGATCATCAGCCCCCCCCCCCTCCCCCCCCATTAATAACTGTTTCGCAGCAAGATTTGTTTTAAGCATCGCGGACCCTAGCCGGGTTTTCACTTTATGGGTCTCATCAGCAGCCTGTGGCCTGTTAAAACTATGCTGATGATGGATGACGCTGCTGGTAGTAATGACGGCAATGGTGTCAGGTGGGACTAGTAGCGACTGTTGTGGTGTGGACAGCGGTGGTGCTGGTGGTGAAGGAGGTGATGCCGTCAATAATCATTATTCTGATGATGACGATGCTGCTACTGCCGATGATGATGATAATGCTGCTACTGCCGATGATGACAATGCCACTGCTGATGACAATGCCGCTGCTGATGACAATGCCACTGCTGATGACAATGCCGCTGCTGATGACAATGCCGCTGCTGATGACAATGCTACTACTGCCGATGATGACAATGCCGCTGCTGATGACAATGCTACTACTGCCGATGATGACAATGCCGCTGCTGATGACAATGCTACTACTGCCGATGATGACCATGCCGCTGCTGATGACAATGCTGCTACTGCCGATGATGACAATGCCGCTGCTGATGACATTGCTGCTACTGCCGATGATGACCATGCCGCTGCTGATGACAATGCTGCTACTGCCGATGATGACAATGCCGCTGCTGATGACAATGCTACTACTGCCGATGATGACCATGCCGCTGCTGATGACAATGCTGCTACTGCCGATGATGACAATGCCGCTGCTGATGACAATACTGCTGCTACTGCTGCTACTGATGGTGATAATGTTGTTGCTACTGCCAGAGGACAACGCTGCTGCTGATGCCACTGCTTTGTGATCGTGCTGCTACTGATGCTGCTGCTACTGCTGACAACACAGCTGCTGCTGCTGCCACTGCTGCTGCTAACGCCGATGCAGACAACAACAACAAAGACACACATCAGGAATCAATACGCATGAGTTTCCAGTTCCTTATTTATTTATTCATCCATCGTTACTATCCCTCCAGCGCCCACCCGATTTATTGAGACTTCCCATCCCTGCCTTTGAACATCTTAAACAGCACCATGAGGGGTGTCTTGGCAGCCGGAGGCTCGCCGTGGACGTGGAAACCTCCGTAGCGCTTACTCTGTCGCCGCGGCCCAAGCCCCACTTCGTCTTGAGACCTCACAGGCCCGCCTATCCCGGCGGCACCGGCCATAGGAACGGCCCCGGGCGAAAGGATCCAGGGCCAGGAGGAGGCGATCGCACGGGACGCTTCGGCTGCAGTGAAACCGTTCTGCTCGACTTGGTGGTGGCGATGTTGCTGCTGCTGCTGTTGATGATGTTGTTGTTGTTCGTGTTGATGTGGCTGTAGGTCATTGTTTGAGATGATGGCTCTCTCGGAGAGATCTTGAGAGTCTTCCGAGCCGGGCTCCACAAAGACCTATCGGTGACATCAGCAGCAGCAGCAGCATCATCATCAGCACTTAAACGGCAAGAGGTCTCTGGTTTCTATTTAAAGCTTTCGTGACTGCAAGGATTCATCTTCTTTGGTTCTTTCGGTAAGGTCACGTAGAATGACAAAAAAATAAGACAATAAAATTCTCACGACGTTTCGGCCACAACGCAGGTCTGTACCTTTCACCTGAAGGCGGCCGCTTGCGTTGTGGCCGAAACGTCGTGAGAATTTTATTGTTATTTTATTATTTTATTCTCATTCTACGTGACCTTATCGAAAGAACCAAAGAAGAGGTCTCTGGTTGTTCTGTTCGTTTGTTTTTAGCTCAACATTAGCCCAACACAGAGCACGAATTGGGGGGACCACACAGAGACTCCGCAGGACCACCTCATAGGGCAGCGGTCCGTATCTCCCGATTAGCATGGGTGGCTACGTACGGCGCGAAAGAAGTCCAACGTACATTCACAGAGGGGGTCTCCGGCCACCAAAATAACAAAAGTAAAATTTTGGGCGACTTCGGTAAAAAAAAAAAATTAAACATCGTTATATCAAGAGCCCAAATGCAACGTGGTGAATACGAGACAGTGGCGCTCTCTTGATAAACAACGTCACGAAGCAAACTTTATTAAGGGCGCCGCGTGCGTATAGGGAGCTGCAGACTGCCGGTCCCCTGCCCTGGAACGTAGTGCTCCTGCATTTAGAGCAAGGCCGTAGCCATGGAGTCAACATTGGGGGGGACCAAATCTTCCAGGGGGTCTGGGCCCCTCCCCGCACCCCCCCCCCCCCCCCAGAAAAAAATCTAAATTTGAAAACTAATTTCCTGCCATTTCCTGCCTAAAATATAAAAAAAAATCACTAACACATGGGATGTACTTTTTATTTGTTTTGTATGTGTAAGATGTGCGTGTTTGAGCTGCCGCTCTCGCTCTGGCCCCTCCCCCCCTCCAACCGTATTTCCTATTTAAGCTTCTGTTCACCCCGCCCCCTCTCTCTCTGCCTCCCTGTCCGTCTTTCCTCCCTCCTTACCTCTTGGTGGACTTGTATATGTATTTCTACTGACCGTGTACCTCGTATTTTTCATTCTATCTATGCTGGTATGTGCAATCCAAAGGTTGAACACGAAAATTAACACTCTTCTGAAATTCGTGGTCCGCCAGGAAGTGTCTAAACTGTGTTGTTGGCCTGACTGGATGTGCTTCACATAATGTTTTTTCAGGTTTGTTGAATTCTCGTCTCTCATCTTTTTGTTGTATTTACCTCCGTGATTTGTTCTTGACACCTGATGAAGATCGCTTGCGTTGTGATCGAAACGTCGTGATTGTTTTGTGTTTTAATATAATTTTATTGTATTTCTACATACGTGACTTTACCGAAAAAAACAATGAGTAGTTGTTACAATAATGCCTAATAGTGTATTGTATTACATTGCTCCGTTTTTACTTTCTTACCATGTCTTGTTTCATTGTATGTAATGGCAGAGTTTAGGGATTAATAAAGTACAACCATAACCACAATCATATAAACAGAAACCTATTTTATAGCAATATATTGGGGGGGGGGGGCATTTTGAGCATATTTCAATATTGGGGGGGGATGTGTCCCCAAATATATATTATAATTACGGCCTCGATTTAGAGGAGTTGGGCTCATTGCCCCACCGTGATGTGATGACCGCAAGCGGGAACGTGGACCTTTGTTTCATTTTAAACGGGGAGGGGAAGACGATGGGAGAGGAACTGACAATGAAGAGGGATGGAGGGGACAGGAGAAGGTTCGGTGGGGCCATGACGGTCTCTGTAAAAAAAAATACTCTTTGGTTCTTTCGGTAAAAGTCACGTAGAAAAGAAAATTAGTAATAGAGTTCGACGTTTCGATTGCAACACAAGCAACCGTCATCAGGTAGAACTAAATTTGAGAGAGAGACAAAACACAGACACGGAGACACACAGACAGACACACAAGCATAGAGAGACACACAACATAGACACACAGAGACCCAATGCCTCTGTGTCGAGGCCTTAAATAGAGAGAGAGGGGCGGGTCTCTGTAAAAGGCTACGCGGTGGAGCGTTTGTCTTGCTGTGCGAGCGGGCTGAACGTGCGTCAATGCTTCCCGTCTTTATCTCTCCTCCATCCACAGCCTCCGCCTTCTGTCTTTGTCAACCACAAACGATCCCCCTCCTCGTCATCCGCCTCTTCTCCACAACCGCTCACTCGCTCATCCATCCGCACCTTCCCACCATCATCTCAACATGAGCAGCAGCAGCATCAGCAGCAGCAGCATTAGCAGCAGCATCAGCAGCATCAGCAGCAGCACCATAAGCATGCACGTCACAACACCGCCGCTCGATTCGCCTTACGCTAACCACACTAGCACACCCTCATGCACAGTCATCCACTTTGTTCACCAGGAAAAGATGAAGTTCCCCCGAATAACCTTCCCAGGCTTTTGGGGCAAGTGCCGTTAGCAAGCAGCACCTATTAAGGGCCGGCACGGTTTACCAGGGGGTGGATTGTCAGCACCGCGCACGGCCGCTTTTGTCTCCCAAACTGGCGATGTTTTACGCACCGCACCAAATGCTAATTTGAGACCGAGTCAACCAAGGGGAGGCCCAGGACCGGTCCACATATTCGCCACCAGTGTTGACCGTGAGCTGGCATCGAACTCGGTTCATGGCGCAGTGATATACAAAGACAAAGATCCCCCATACAGCCTTTAACATATTGATAGGGCAAGTGCTGTTAGCGAGTAGCACCGATGTGATACTGTATACACAAACACACACCTCCGATGAGCACGGTTGGCTACGTACGGTGCGAAAGAAGTTCAACATACGCACTCGCATACGCGCGTGCTGTGCATACAGCACTGGGGGAGTCGAAGGCGCTCGGGGCGTGGTGCTGCCCACTTTCCCCCCACACCCCACCAACCCTCGTGTGCCGAACTCCATCGGTGCTGCTTACTCGCTCATCATCAAGAAAAAAACAACTGGTGTTCGTTGGTGGCCGTGAGCAGGAATTGAACTCGGGTCTCCAACCCCCCCACCCACCCCACCCCACCTTTGGCTGTCAATCTGTTACCGGTCTCGTCCATCGGCCAGCCATCATCCCTTAGAGGCTGATTGTTCGTCCGGCCTCAAACCCCCCCTCCCCCGCACCGTTCGATGTTCCTTAACTGCGCTCGAATGCGACGGCTCCCGCTCGCGTTTGCTTCTCCGATCCGCCCGTCGCTTCCTCTTCCCGCTCTCCTAAATGCCAATTCCACAGCACGCCGAGCACGCCTCCTACCAATGCCCCTTTTGTTCACTTTTCCCCCTTTTTTCTGTTCCGCTTCTGATTGCCGGGTGTCCTTGTCGCCGATCCATGTCAAGAGGCAGGGCAACGTCGCAGCGATTGTCAACGGCCGTCTGACGGCCATGCGGGAATCTTTGCTTTTCATGATTGCAATTACATTTCTCAACTGCTCCCCGAATCTCCTCTCGTTCTCCCACCCTCCATTTAATCCTCATGATCTCGATCTGCCCGCAATAATTCCCCCTATTATATATATACTCTATACTCTATTGTGATTTCCAGATTTGGCCATCAAGCAATGACAGTATGTTTCATACGTGATTGATCATGTTGGTGACGGTGAAGGCACCGAAATAATAATTGTAACGATACCGATCTCGATGCTGCTCATCATCACCGCTATTAGTGTTGATAATAGCGGTGATGATGGCGGTGTTGATGGTAATGTGATCCGCACCTCCGATCAACACGGTTGGCTACGTGCGGTGCGAAAGAAGTTCAACGTGTAGATCTACAGCGAGGGAAAAAAGTATTTGATCCCTTGCTGATTTTGTACGTTTGCCCACTGACAAAGAAATGATCAGTCTATCATTTTAATGGTAGGTTTATTTGAACAGTGAGAGACAGAATAACAACAAAAAAATCCAGAAAAACGCATGTCAAAAATGTTATAAATTGATTTGCATTTTAATGAGGGAAATAAGTATTTGACCCCTCTGCAAAACATGACTTAGTACTTGGTGGCAAAACCCTTGTTGGCAATCACAGAGGTCAGACGTTTCTTGTAGTTGGCCACCAGGTTTGCACACATCTCAGGAGGGATTTTGTCCCACTCCTCTTTGCAGATCTTCTCCAAGTCATTAAGGTTTCGAGGCTGACGTTTGGCAACTCGAACCTTCAGCTCCCTCCACAGATTTTCTATGGGATTAAGGTCTGGCGACTGGCTAGGCCACTCCAGGACCTTAGTGTGCTTCTTCTTGATCCACTCCTTTGTTGTCTTGACAGTGTGTTGTGGGTCATTGTCATGCTGGAATACCCATCCTCGACCCATTTTCAATGCCCTGGCTGAGGGAAAGAGGTTCTCACCCAAGATTTGACGGTACATGGCCCCATCCATCGTCCCTTTGATGCGATGAAGTTGTCCTGTCCCCTTAGCAGAAAAACACCCCCAAAGCATAATGTTTCCACCTCCATGTTTGACGGTGTGGATGGTGTTCTTGGGGTCATAGGCAGCATTCCTCCTCTTCCAAACATGGCGAGTTGAGTTGATGCCAAAGAGCTCCATTTTGGTCTCATCTGACCACAACACTTTCACCCAGTTGTCCTCTGAATCATTCAGATGTTCATTGGCAAACTTCAGACGGGCATGTATATGTGCTTTCTTGAGCAGGGGGACCTTGCGGGCGCTGCTGGATTTCAGTCCTTCACGGCGTAGTGTGTTACCAAATGTTTTCTTGGTGACTATGGTCCCAGCTGCCTTGAGATCATTGACAAGATCCTCCCGTGTAGTTCTGGGCTGATTCCTCACCGTTCTCATGATCATTGCAACTCCACGAGGTGAGATCTTGCATGGAGCCCCAGGCCGAGGGAGATTGACAGTTCTTTTGTGTTTCTTCCATTTGCGAATAATCGCATCAACTGTTGTCACCTTCTCACCAAGCTGCTTGGCAATGGTCTTGTAGCCCATTCCAACCTTGTGTAGGTCTACAATCTTGTCCCTGACATCCTTGGAGAGCTCTTTGGTCTTGGCCATGGTGGAGAGTTTGGAATCTGATTGATTGATTGATTGCTTCTGTAGACAGGTGTCTTTTATACAAGTAACAAGCTGAGATTAGGAGCACTCCCTTTAAGAGTGTGCTCCTAATCTCAGCTCGTTACCTGTATAAATGGCACCTGGGAGCCAGAAATCTTTCTGATTGAGAGGGGGTCAAATACTTATTTCCCTCATTAAAATGCAAATCAATTTATAACATTTTTGACATGCGTTTTTCTGGATTTTGTTGTTGTTATTCTGTCTCTCACTGTTCAAATAAACCTACCATTAAAATTATAGACTGATCATTTCTTTGTCAGTGGGCAAACGTACAAAATCAGCAGGGGATCAAATACTTTTTTTCCCTCATTGTACATGATGGTGAGGCCAATGATGATGGTTATGATTCGTCCGTTTGTGTGTTTAATCACCATCAAATACTGTGTTCATATTTGGTTTTATTTTATGGTTATTTCGGTAAAGTCAGATAGATAGAAAAAATAATAACAATAAAATAATTACATTTTGATTTAAAGCTTTCGTGACTGCAGGGATTCGTATTCTTGGTTCTTTCGGTAAAGTCACGCAGAAGGGAAACAATAAAATAATAAAAATATAAAATAATAAAATTCTCACGACGTTTCGACTGCAACACAAGCAATCATCATCAGGTGATTTTCACACCAAAAATAATAAAATAATTATTTTGATAACAATAAAATAATTAAATTTTGAGAATAATAGTTTTATTTTTCTTGGTCGTTATCATCATAATAATTATTTTAATTATTTTCTTATTCTTGGTTCTTTCAGTAAAGTCACGTAGAAGGGAAACAATAAAATAAAATAATAAAAATATATTTTATTATTCTTGGTTCTTTCGGTAATAAAAATATATTTTTATTATTTCATTGTTTCCCTTCTACGTGACTTTACCGAAAGAACCAAGAATATGAATCCCTGCAGTCACGAAAGCTTTAAATGAAACTGTAATTATTTTATTGTTATTATTTAGAATATGAATTCCTGCAGTCACTGAAGTTTTAAGTCAAAATTTCATATTCGTTGTTGAGTTAGGCCAGGCAGAAAGTGGAGTTGTTTAATGCCAGAATCCTGGACATTCTTAACGCTCCACCACCCGACACAATAACGACGTTTATAAATATTTCCTAAATACATCATCATCACGTGATGTTCTAACTTCATCATCATCATCTATTTTGCCAGGCTCATTATTACCATAGATGTCACCATCATTTGCATCATCGCCTACGCTATATGTTATCGTCATCTGTTATCAGAACGCCGCAGAGATGTTGATGACGGTAACGAAGATGCTGCTGCTGCTGCTATAGTTGTTGCTGCGTATGTTGAACATGATGAAGGATGTTCGTGGTTCTTTCGGTAAAGTCACGTAGAAGGGAAGTAATTTTTGTTTATTTTTTATTATTTCCCTTCTACGTGACTTTATCGAAAGAACCAAGAATATGAATCCCTGCAGTCACGAAAGCTTTCAATCGAAAAATGATGAAGGATGCTGCTACTACTCATGATGCTACTACTACTGCTGCGGATGATGTAGATGTTGAAGGTGTTGATGCCGATGATGATGATGATGCTGATACTCCTGCTGTTATGGAGTGACTCATGCTGCCAGCTATGGCTGCAAAGTTTGGTCGTACATGTTATGTGTATCGTTTATTGTTAAATTTGAATCATAGCTCCTATGATCACTGTTACATTGTGTTTACAGCTTTATTTTAGCGATTTCGAAAACGTTTAGTTGAGCAATGTTTGTTTGTCGAAGTACAAAGTTGGCCTGATAACTTTAATCTAAATTGTCTTATGGTTGTTATTGTTAGACTTGCATCTCACTGGGATTTTTGCACACAGCGTTGATATACGGTGGGTGTTTTTTTTCTGTAAGACTTTGCTCGTTTTTTTCCTGGATTTTTTCTCTTTGTACGTAGTCACTTTAAGATGTTTTCTTGTTCATGTTTTTGTTGTGTTGCGGTTACACCCGAGTCAAGAGCCGCATGGCTCACAGGGTTATACCTAATCAATGAAACTGAACTGAAACTGTTTCTGCTGTTGATGATAATCTCGCTAATAATGATGATGGATTTCTGAAACTACTTCTGATCATACTACTGTTGTTGCTGCTACTGTTGATGATGGGGTATCTGTCGCTTGTGTGTGACAGTGATGCTTCTCTGGCTGCTGATAATCATGATCATTAGTATTATGACGATGTCTCTGCTGCTGCTGCTGCTACTGATGCTTGTTACTTCTGCTGATGATTGCTTCTGTCGATGCCATTGCTACCGCTGCTCATGACGAGGGTGATGCGCATGGTGATGCTACTGCTGCCACTGATGATGACAAATGGCCCGATACTTGCACCGACTTAGTGCTGTTCGCCTTTTGGCGTTGTTCTCTGGTCTGACACTGGGTACAGAGAGACAAGGCCTTAAAGAAGGCCGGCTTGTCTCTGGCGCAGGCAAAACCGGTTCCCAAAAGACAATGCCCATGTATCGTCAGAGCGCGTTTGCTTTGCACGTTTTGCCACAAAGCACGCTTGGCGAATGCAGCAAACTTGATTCCTCGCAAAAGGGTATCTACGTTGTGTTTGGACATCTTAACGGAAATCCGGTTTTATTGCCAGAAAGGGGTACAAAAAACCCCTATTGTTTTTTTGTTGTTGTTGCTTCGCGTCTCTCGTGTTGATTTCAAGATGATGTCACACAAAGTCACTTTAAGATGTTTTTCTTGTTCATGTTTTTTGTTTGTTTGTCGCGGTTGCACCCGATTCAAGAGCCGAATGGCTCACGGGGCTATACCAAAATAAATGAAAACTGATGATGACTGTGATGACTGTGATGATGCCCCGACCACCAAACCCTGCTCACCTTCACGGGCCGTTTCTTGCGGTTCGCCGGCTTGCCCCACCGAAAGTGCCCCACGGCGTAGCCCAGGGAGCGCCTCAGTGGCTCCTCCTCGTCCTCCATCACCTCGTCGTCCACCACCTCGTCGTCCACCACCTCGTCATTGCCAGCCTGCTGGCCCCAGGCCTCCGGGCCCGGCCGCTCGCCTTGGGCTCCCCGGGCGGCATCCGCCTCCTCCATTAGGGCGGCGCGCTCAGGCAAGAGCCAGGCTCCGCAGTCACCGTTACAGGCCCGAGAGCAAAGGAACTGCAAAATTAGAGGGGGGAGTTACAGCGTTAGAGTTAGACAAACTGGTTAGACAAGTTATACACGCAGGTTAAATAGGTATACAAATAATATGTAGACAAGTAAGATGTAGATACGTTGGCGCCAAATAGAAAGTGGGTGAGATGGGCCTATTAGGTGGACGTGATCTATGGAAAGGTGGGTAGGTTGACATTGACAGGTTAGGCGGACAGGTTTAAGATATGCAAGATTATCTTAGGTTATACAGACAGGTGAGATATACATGTAGGGTAAGATATACACGTTAGATATGTGAGGTAGACAGGAAGATCGAAGAGACAGGTCGGGGAAATGCAGGGGTATCGGATGGCACAGGTTAGGCCAGGGGCCTGCAACAAAAGTACTCAAGAAGAGGCATAAATTTCGATTTAAAGCTTTCGTGAACTGCAGGGATTCATATTCTCGGTTCTTTCGGTAAAGTCACCACCACGTAGAAGGGAAACAATAAAATAATAAAAATATAAAACAATAAAATCCTCACGACGTTTTGACTGCAACGCAAGCAATCATCATCAGGTGTGAAAACCACGGCAAGAAATTTTTTGAAACAAGTGGCGCTTTTTTTCTTATTGTTTAATATTTTTATTATTCTTTTATTATTTCCCTTCTACGTGGTGACTTTACCGAAAGAACCAAGAATAAGAAGAGGCATGTTTTGTGCGTTCGACTGAAACGTGTATTTCAAGAGCCACAGTGCACTGTGTGGTGAATACGGGACGGGGTGTCGGTCCTGCATAAACAGGTCCCTGCAGGGTGGGCTGGTAGGAACATTGGAATTTTGCGCAATTTTATGACATTGTTACGCATTCCTGTTACGTGACTTCCAAATGTTGGGTGCAATAAGACGTATCAAGTCTCTGCGCTGTCCATTGCTGATTTTACACCCCAACAGCACGAGATTTCACTTCGTTAAAAGTACTGAAAGGGGACGGACGGACGGACACATTAATCTATTGCAGGCTGGTACACTCAGTTTACAATCTTCGTTACTACCAGTAACAACAAACGTCTCGAAGCAAGTTCCTTAAAGAGCCGCAGATCGCCCAGCACTGGGTTAGACGGATAGGTGGAACATCGAGAGGTTACTTAAGACATCTCGACTACAGCCATCAGCAACTGCACCGTCTGAGCGCAAAGAACCTGCAAATACAAAGATACCTTTAGATTAACTAGGCAGCTTTGATTGACAGGCGAGAGGAACATGGGGCTAGACTCATCGCTCGATAGATCCCACTTTTTTTTGTTACTGTCACATTTAAGGTCAGGATTATTTATATCGCCGAATTTTTTTTTTTTGGGGGGGGGGGGGAATCGTTTCTGGCCATGTGGCCGGTTTTCAATGGACAGCTTACAATCATCGTCGGCGTCGTTGAGCGGGAGAATGCGAATGGCAAAGTATACACGCGGGCCAGGTGTCTCGTGTATTGTGTGTGTGTGTGTGCTGAACTTCTTCCGCACCGTATGTTGCTAACCACGTCAACTGAAGACACAGTAGTTGTGTGTGTGTGTGTTTTCCCGCACAAACCATCAGCCCGCGCTGCAGTTCATCACTGCAGCAGCCTTGAGTCAAGACAATAGGGTATAGAACACACGTTTGGACTGACAGGTTTCTTTCCTATAGTGGGGTCATCCGTTAAGAGCGTTGCAGTCCGACGGAGAGACGTAGAGTGGAACGTTGCTAATGTTGCTGCAGATGCTGCTGCTGCAGATGATGATGATGAGAATTGTGTTACAACAGCACTCGTACTACCGTTGCTGATCCTGTTGCTGCTGCTCAAAATGATGTTGCCTATGAGAATGTTGTTAATACCACCACTACTGCTGATGCGCCTGCTGATTGCTGATGTTGATTGTGACGATGTTCATATTTTGTATTTAAAGCTTTCGTGACTGCAGGGATTCATATTCTTGGTTCTTTCGGTAAAGTCACGTAGAAGGGAAACAATAAAATAATAAAAATAAAAAAACAATAACATTCTCACGACGTTTCGACTGCAACGCAAGCAATCATCATCAGGTGTGACAACCACAGCTGATGATGATTGCTTGATTGCTTGTGTTGCAGTCGAAACGTCGTGAGAATTTTATTGTTTTATATTTGTATTATTTCATTGTTTCCCTTCTACGTGACTTTACCGAAAGAACCAAGAATATGATGTTCATATTCTTTGGGTCTTTCGGCAAAGTCACGTAGCTAGGTTAAAAGAAAATAACAAAAAAAACGACGACGTTTCGATCGTAACACGAGCGTACGTCATCAGCAAGAGGGGATGATGAATCTCTGCAGTCACGAAAGCTTTACGTCAAGATGCATGATAATGTTGACAATGATAATTAGATTCTTGGTTCTTTCGGTAAAGTCACGTAGAAGGGAAACAATAAAATAATAAAAATAAAAAAACAATAAAATTCTCACGACGTTTCGACTGCAACGCAAGCAATCATCATCAGGTGTGAAAACCACAGCAAGAAAAATGTGTTACTATCAGTACTACCACTGCTGATGCTACCGCTGCTGATGTTCCTGCCGATTCTGATGATGCTAATCGTGATGACGAGTACGGCCATATACTCATCTCCGTCTCTCTCTCTCTCTCCATATCACTCAAGTCACCTGTGCCACGGGGTCGCTCAGCTGGTCCACGCCGAGGCAGGGGCCGACCCCAACAGCGGCGCCTCCCCGCGGAGCCAAGCAGAGCAGGGCGGCTCCCAAGAGCCGAACCAGAGACCACTCCATCATGATGCCTGAGATCTCCTCTCCTCCTCCTCTCCTGCTTGATCCCCCTGCTCGTCTTTCTCTTGCTCCTCCTCCTCCCAGGTCCAAAGGCGAACGTCGCGAGAGGGCGGTGGTGGTGTTTGGTGGTGGTGATGTTGGTGGTGGGATTGTGAGCCTGCAACATCGTTGACATCATCATGGTCGTCATCCTTTGACTGTAAACTTTCGCGACTGCCGTAATTCGTATTCTTGGTTCTTTCGGTAAAGTCACGTAGATAGAAAATAAATGGAAAATTAAAAAAAGGCAAAAAAACCCACGACGATTTTTATTTTTTATTTTATTTTTTATCTTTGCGACTTCACCGAAAGACCAAGAATATGCTCGTCATCATTGTATTTCATCGGCATCTCCCGGGATTGTTATCGTCGCTGTGATCGTTATGGTAATAGACCATCATGCACTTGAAGTGAGACAGTAATTCTCATCGTAAATCATCGTTATCGCAATTAATATAATGTCATCACTGTCATCGTCATTATCACCATCGGTATTCTCATTATTAGCGTCGTCACATATATGATGAATCATCATTGTTATCGTCATTATCGGCATTCTCATCTTTATATCCATCATCGCCGTCGTTGTAATCATGATCCCCATCATCACCATGATTATCATCATCATCATGACCATCATCACCATCGCTATCGTATTCAAGTGGAACAATAGTTGGTTAGAAGCAGCAGTAGTATCCGTTCGCCATAGCAGCATCATAACCATCATCATCAGCAGTCACCGCATCATAACCATCATCACCAGCATCAGTATTCACATAACCATCATCATCAGCAGTCACCGCATCATAACCATCATCACCAGCATCACCATCATCACCAGCATCAGTATTCGCATTATCACCATCATCACCAGCATCAGTATTCACATCATAACCATCATCATCAGCAGTAACCGCATCATCACCATCATCACCAGCATCAGTATTTGCATCATAACCATCATTAGCAGCAGAAACGACATCACCATCATCATCTAAAACTATCATCATCATCATGGATATATACTCGAAACTCAATCAAAGTCTAACCCTGCTCGTGTGAGCCAGAGGTGGAAACTCCACGATCCCGTGGCGGGACCAGTCTATTCCGTTGAACTCCCAGCAGAGAGTGATGGTACTTACTGCGTATCGAGCCACATGGTATTTGCTGCTGATGCTTATGATGATGATGATGCTGCTGCTGATGATGATGTTGTTGATGATGATAATTATCATTATTTTAATCCCGTCCGATGTTCAAAAGACGCAATACATCTCAGCAGGTGCTCGTCTGGTCAAATACAGTATAGAGGATTTGAAGTTTTCGTGACTGCAAGGATCCATACTCTTTGGTTCTTTCGGTAAAGTCACGTAGGTAAAAAAATATTTCAAAAATGCACTTTAGTAAAACAAAAATTCTAGCTGTGATTTTCACACCTGATGATGATTGCTTGTGTTGCAATCGAAACGTCGTGATTTAATTTACTTTAATTTTTTTATATATATTTTTATCTCTTATTTTTACTTAATTTTATTTCTTACCGACGCGGCTTTACCGAAAGAACCAGGGAGTGCAAATATAGAGGAGGTTGCTAAACCGCATTTCGTGTTTCCGTACATACGCAACACGCTCTTCCAAATGTGGCGTGAATGATCGTACTCACTGGCTGCGGACTCAGCGAGAGATGTCAAGTTTATGGTGAGACTAAGCAGCCATGCACACGGGTAGGCAAACAGAGGAGTCAATCAACGCGGGCTAGTCAGACACACGCACGCACACGCACACACACACAAGAGACGAATTCACCCCGATAGCAAGACTCGCGCGTACACCTTCAGGTGCTCGGACACACGAGAGAGACGTACAGGTAGCCGGACTTGAGCGGAGACTGGACACGAAAGGGTGTTTCGTTGGGGCTATTATAAGGCGAATTGAACGGAGGCCGTTGTGACGTGCCTGCTTTATGATGCCGATGTTGGCACGATGGTGAGTGGGTGTGGGTGATTGAGCGGTAGTGGGAGAGAGGAGGAGGAGGAGGAACAGGGAGGTGAGGAGGAGGTGGGGGCGGTGGTGGTGGTGGTGGTTGACAAAGACGGCAGAGGCTTTGGAAGGAGGAGAGATAGCGCCGGAAGCATTGACGCACGTTCAATCCACTCGCAGAGCGAGACAAAGACCCCCACGTATAGCCGTAATAGACGTTGGGAGCAAGTGCTGTTAGCGATCGGCACCTATGCAGACCGGCACGGCACACGAGGGGGCGGGTGGCCAGCACCACGCCCGACCGCCTTTGTTTCCCCATTGGCGATGTTCACACGCCGCACCAGGTACTCGTTTGAGGCTGAGTCGACCTAGGGGAGGCCCAGGAACGGTTCGGATAATCGTCATTGGTGTTGGTGGCCGTGAGCGGAAATTTAACTCGGATCGCCGGGTTCGTCGCGCAACGTGCTAACCACTGCGCCACCACTCCTCTCACACGCGCGAACACAATGACAGAGACAAAGATCCCACGTATTGCCTTGAATGGACTGTTGGGACAAGCACTGTTAGCGAGCACCTATTATGGCGTCCAGGGAACACGTGGCACTGGTGTGGCCATGCAGCACCCATTTAATCCACCCAGTAGTCATTTAAATCTGAGTCGACCTAGGGGAGCCCCAGGACTGATTCAGATATTCGTCACTGATGTTAGCCGCGAGAGGGGACTTAAACTAGTCCTGGTTCGTATAACCCAGTGCGCTAACCACTACGCCACCGTGCCCCATGCAAAACACAAATACCCTCGTATAGACTTTGAATAGACTATAGGGCAAGCATTGTTAGCGAGCACCTATTGCGGCGGGAATGGCACACAAGCCGGTAGGTGACCAGCACTACGCCCGGCCGCCTTTGTTTCTCCAGCGCTGATGTTCTTACAGATCGTACCAGGTACGGTACCCATTGAAAGCGGATGGCCAGGAGCGCTTCAAACATTCGCCACTGTCATTGATCTTGAGCGGGAATTGAACTGGGGCCCGCCGGGTCGGTAGTGCGCCAACCGCTACATTACCCAACTCCCCGCACATATATAAACAGTATTTACATAAATAGACACAGATCCACCGTATAGCCCGTAACAGGCTGTTGGTAGCGAGCAGCACCTATGAAGGCCGGCACGGCACACGAGGCGGTGGTTGGCCAGCACCGCAGTCTAAACTAAAACAAAACTGGAATATATTTTTGTTATTCTACCAGGTAAGGCCCATTGAGATATATCGCTCTTTAACAGCAGCGACCTGGCCACAAATGGAGTGGCTTACGTGGAAATGTATCGCAGCCACACACTCTAAACGCGTAGTCACGATGTTGATTCTAAATGTGGAGGGAAAATCCGGAGGACCCGGAGAAAAAACCACGAGACCGAGAGGAGAGAGAGTGAGACACGCAAAGTCCAAATATACAGCAGCAGGCTTCAGGGTCGGGACCGAACCCACGACCTCCTGTATAGCAGGCGAGGCAGTTGACATTTCGTCAACGCTGGGCCCTCAATCACGCACGCACACTCGCACGCCAGCCAGTGTGACAAGGATAGGATGAATGTGGCCACGTGTCTGCATCAGATAGCCCCATCAATGCGCATGGCCACTCCGCCGCGTTGTACAGGGGCGGCACGGTTCAAATCCCGGCACAGGTCTGAGCGTATCGGACCATTGTTTCATTCCCGCAATAGGGAAGGCGGTGGCGGGGGGGAGTCTCATTATCCCAGGTCTCCTTTGCTCAATACATGTACGTGTCGTATCACCTGGTGGTAAAGGGCGTGTGTCTGTGTGCAGATATTCGGGCAGGTTTGACTGCGATCCATCCCGGGATTTACCAATCGGACTGCGTTCCAGTGTAAGGAGCTCGCATATCGTTTGACAAGTCTGGACACAGTCCCCGTCGTCAATAAGCTTCTCCGGCAAGCGAAGCTGTGTTGGCTGGGTCATGTAGCCCGCATTTCCAGCCACACGGCATGGCCAAGCAGCCTCTGCTTGGCCATGGATATGGGGGACTAAGCAGACGCGGCACGGGCTAGAGAAGTGATGGACTGGTACCAGCGGTGTCAAGATCGGCCTCCGCAGAGGAGGCTCGTGAAGGACGCTACTGGGGAGTTGGAGGCAGGCGACCCTCAAAAACAGCGGAGGGCGGAGGAGCCACGCTCACAACAACGAGCGGAGCGCCGGGCGGATAAAGCACAGCACGTTGGCACAGAAGGGGGCACATGTGGTGCATCGGCCAGTCATCTCAGTCAAGCAGACCCGTGGCACCTGCTGGGCCTGTCCCGTGAGCTCCTGACGGCGGCGAGCGGTCAACACTTCACGTGGCCTCAAGGTGCACCTAGCCTGGCACAACGGGCCGTGGTGACGTCACCGCCCCTTCGTGTTGTATATTTTAAGTGCGCAGATGACTTCATGTGGCGGTCCTGGCTTTCCCCTTGGTCGACACAGCTCGCCAACACGACGGAGCCCTAACAGTCTGGTAAAGTAAAAACAGGCTACACGGGTGACCTTTGTCTTTGTAGATGGGTGGGGAGCGGTTGCAGTGTTTGTGATAAGCGCACCGCGCTACTGACCCGGCCCATCCAGAGTTCGATTCCCGTTCACGATCGACGTCAAGCACTCGTGTAAGGCTGAGTCGACCGAGGGTAGGCGGGCCCACGACTGATTCAGATGCAAGCCGCGAACGGGAATCGACTATAGGAACCGGTCCTGGGCTTCCGCTAGGTCGACTCAGCCTTCAAACCGGTGCGGTCTGCGAACATCAGAACTCGGGCGAGCGGGCGTGGTTTTTCGATCAGTGGTTCTTAACTTTTACTACAGCCTTGTCCCCCTTTGCTTCGCAATCATTCATAAATACGCAGGGTTTGATTGAACAAAGTAAGCTGGAGCGTAACGTACCCATGCTTCATTTGTGTTTTCGATTATTTACCTTCTGAAAATAAAATCTGGCCAAGTCTTGCACCCCGAGGGGATGATATTGGTCGCGAAAGCCTATACGTGTTAAACTATGAACCACTGTTCTAGAGTAACATAAACACCTTATTATGTGTTTTTTTGTTTAAATGTCGTGGTTTTCAAAGTTTTAACTGGAGGATAACCAGTGCAGGATGAAGCTAGTGCGAGGCCTGTAGCATATGTTATAAAGGTGCCCTGATTTAAAAAAAAAACATCAATATTAAAACACAGACTTTTTTTTAACTTGCACAGTGAAGTAATTGCATTTTTTTCATTTGCTACGCAGCCAGATAATACGAAAAATCGCTAACCTTAAACACCCGGTAGTTCATACAAGTTGAAGGCGGTATAGTACTGTAGTAATAGAGCAAGTGCAGAATCACTGAACCGGAATTGATAGCTTGAAAGCGTTTAGCGCGGGGCCCTTGAAAGTGCGGGGCCCGTAGCTACTACACATGTGTAGTACACGTGTACTACACATGTGTAGTACACGTGTACTACACACGTGTAGTAGCTACTACTACACGTGTAGAACCCTCTACACGTGTAGTAGCTACTACATATGCAGATACTTTTGCGAGGATAATCCTGCCCTGATGATAGCAATGCGCGTAGAGGGTTCTTGATGTGAATAAAGGCGCGTTAAGTAAATAAATTAGTTTAACACGTAGGCTTTCGCCACCTTTATCATGAAAGAAATAAATGTTGATTTTCATCCGCACCACTCCCTCGACAAAAACCTTCATACCTTGTAGAATGTTGTTTCAACCAAAGTGTGTCACCCCCTTGTCTGATCCAACATGGTTTCTGAGAAATAAATGTTTTGAATAATGAACATTAACAATTCCACCAGTTGCCCGTGTTGTGAGGTAGCCTGACTAGTTAAGTGACTCCAAGCGAATAAGACGACAACAGCAAACAGCAACAATAATTCAACGGACACTCTGCATGCATAACGTACATTGTTCCTGCTCGCTGGTTAATCTTGGCAATCAACATTGCTCACAATCAATGAGTTGACAAAGGTCTTTTATAGCGTTCTAGGTTACCACGTGGTTTTAAAACAATTTTTTTCTTAAATCGTAGTTACTTTTTTTTGTTCTTTCGGTAAAGTCACGTAAGAAAATAAAATCAAATAATAATAATAGAATACGACGTTTCGGTTGCAACACAAGCAACCATCATCGGGTAAGAATGAATGATAGAACACAGACACGGGAACAGCATAGGCAGATACACATGCAGAGAGAGAGACACACACAAAGACAACACCTGCAGTCACGAAAGCTTCCAATCGAGCTCGGAGTTGTTTGATATTGGCAGATTCACACGTGGTCGTGCACCCATGACTCCCACGCACGATGTCATTCACGCGTTGAGACGGCACCTCGCGTACCCCCTGGGCGCATTGCCCCGTAGCCCGCCAGGGGTCCACGTACCCACCCCAGTTGAGCACCACTGGCTTGGGGCACTTTCATCAAAAGTTTGTTAAGGGGGGGGGGGGGGTGGTGATGGACAGGAGGGGGGGTGATGAACAGGAGGGGGGGGGTGATGAACAGGAGGGGGGGGTGATGAACAGGAGGGGGGGTGATGAACAGGATGGGGGGGGTGATGAACAGGAGGGGGGGGGGGGGTGATGAACAGGAGGGGGGGGTGATGAACAGGAGGGGGGGGGGTGATGAACAGGAGGGGGGGGGGTGATGAACAGGGGGGGGAGTGATGAACAGGAGGGGGGGTGATGAACAGGGGGGGAGTGATGAACAGGGGGGGGGGTGATGAACAGGAGGGGGGTGATGAACAGGGGGGGAGTGATGAACAGGGGGGGGGGTGATGACCATGGGGGGGGGGGGGTGATGAACAGGGGGGGAGTGATGAACAGGGGGGGAGTGATGAACAGGAGGGGAGTGATGAACAGGGGGGGGGGGGGGGTGATGAACAGTGGGGGTAATGAACAGGGGGGGTGATGAACAGGGGGGGGGTGATGAACAGGGGGGGGTGATGAACCGGGG